ACGCCCATGAGTGTCTCGGCCATGGCCGAGACACCCATGAGTGTCTCAGCCAGGCCGAGACACTCACAAGTGTCTTGGCCATGCCGAGACACCCACGGGTGTCTGCAGACCCGAAAAATTAAATTTTGGCAGTTTAAAGCTGTTTTTTGATTGTTAACCATCTGGATTTGTTTTTATTGATCTGATATCATCCAAGAATGTGGTTAAGTGGTTACAACTAAAGATAAGATCGAATCGATTGTTCTTATCCGAAAACGGGGGTCCCGAAGCCTATAAATACAGCCCCAAGGCCTTTATTTTTTTAAGTTCTGGAATTCTCGAGCGTTGGCAAAACCCTACTGAATTGGAGACTGAAGAGCCAAGAATTTCAGAGAGGATGATGAGACTTTAGCGAATTCTTCGGCATAAAGAATGAGAGTTCGATAGATCTGCAGCCCGGTTCTTTTCCTTGAGATCGCCCCGTTGCGGTGATCTCGAGAAGAGTGGTTATCTTGCTGTTGCCAAGATAATTGCTTCAGTTTTTTGATTCATTAGTAAATCAACGAAGCTCCAGATCTGATCTGATCGTTTGGTGGTCCACAGATATCAACATCCCCATCACAGGCTAAGATCTCACTCAAGCAGAAGACCGATAAACGATCTCTGTGTTTGTTTTGATGAGAATAGTATTTTCATTGTGTAAGAGTCTTATAAAAAGACTATCCTTTTGTATTTTCATTGTAATGACTGAAGTTGTAATGAATACCTTAATGAAGAAACCAATTTTCTCCCCAAACAACCATGACATTAAAACCTGTAGAACACTAGTAAAAACTCAAAAATGGGTTCCTAAGCAAGGCCAGAATCCAATATCTGGTGATATTAGGAAGGAAAAAAACTATTATTGAGAATGATATTCCTTTGCAATCAAATGATAACCTGAATATGGATATTACTGGACAAGAGGGTGGTAAGCAGGAAGAGAATAGTAGGAAAATGGCTGTGCATATTTCTGATGCAGGGGATGAAAACAATAATCATCTATTAAATGAGATGGTTAATGTTAGTGGGAGGATAATTGCTGATAAAGATCCATCAGGTTCAGGGCATCAAGCATTGCACAGTGTTGTACATGTGATGCATATCAAAGAGAAAAATACAGGAGGTATCAGTACTGGAGGTTCTACCCTAGGAAATAGACCTTAGACTCATGTTCAAAAAAGTTTAAAGAATAAGAATATCATTCCTGGGAATTCTTTTACATTTCTGGATATTTTGGATATTGATCCCTCTACATTAGATAGAGGGGGGGGGGGGACAGCAAAGATGAATATATCCTTCTGGAATGTTAGAGGATTGAACAAATCCTCTAAGCAACATATGGTTAGATAATTCATATCTCAGTATCATCTCTCATATATAGCTCTACTTGAAACAAAAATAAATAATTGTAAGATTTAGCAGGCAGCAAAAAAAAGCTGAAAATTGGAACTGGGTGTCTAATGTCAGTAATCAAAGAAGAGCTAGGATCTTGATCATGTGGGATCCAAAAATCCTTGGAGTTCAAATTATCAACATTTCAGACCAAAGTATCACATGCAAAATTGTTTCATTAGATGGGAGAACGGAATATATGATTACATCTATTTATGGGTTTAACCAAATGGAGGCTAGGAAGGAGTTATGGAATGAATTGAAGACTATACAACAATTAATGAGGAATGAACCATGGATCTGGTGACTTTAACACTGTCATAAATGGTGAGGAAAAGCTTGGAGGTGCAGTTGTTACTGAGGCTGAAACCAAAGATTTCAGGGATTTAATTGAAGACTGCCATCTCAATCATCTAAAAACAACTGGATGCTTCTATACATGGAACAATAAGTAAGATCATGATTCTAGAGTGTGGTGCAGGCTGGATAGGGCTCTGGTGAATGATGCATGGCTAAACATGTATAATGCTAGTCAGGTTGAATTCTTGCTTCCTTACTTTTCTGACCATTCTCCTGCCTTGGTATCACTTTTCCAGGAAAGTTCCAAAGGGAAGAAACCTTTCAGGTTTTTCAAGATGTGGTCTAAGCATGATAGTTACATTCCTACTATTTCTGCTATCTGGCAAACAAAAGTAGAGGGGTATAAAATGTTTGCAGTTTGCAAGAGGCTTAAACTGATGAGAGGTGCACTTAAGGAGTTAAACAAGAAGCACTATTATAATATCAGTGAACAAGTTCTTAGAGCCAAAATAGCACTTGAAGAGGCTCAAAGTAGTCTGCAATTACATTCTCTCAATCCAGATTACATTATGAAGGAAAAGGAGTGTATTGCAAGTTACAACAAACTCCTAGATTGTGAGCTTTCCTTTCTGCAGCAAAAATCTAGGATTAATTGGAGTGTACAAGGAGATAGGTGCACAAATTTTTTTCACTCCAGAATCAAAGCAAATAGACATCATAATAAGGTGTTGGTTCTTTACAACACCTTAGGGCAGAGAATTACTGATCAAGAGAAGATTGCAAATGAAATGGTGGATTTTTTCAAGGGCCTTTTGGGGGCTGCTCCAGTTACTACAACACCTGACATTCAAATTATCCAAGCTGGACCTTGTTTGAATGAAGCACAAGCTAACATGCTCTCTGGACCTGTTTCAAAAGAGGAGATAAAGAATACTATCTTTTCAATGGATGAAAATAAGGCTCCAGGGCTAGATGGATATGGAATTGTATTTTATAAATCTGCTTGGTCTGTAATAGGGGAGGAGGTAACACTAGCAATTGAAGAATTCTTCAAAAATGGAAAATTACTGGGAATGGTTAATTCAACTGCCATTACTCTTGTACCAAAGAAGCAATGTCCAGTTTCCCCCTTTGATTTTAGGCCCATATCCTGCTGCAACTGCATTTACAAATTCATTTCAAAAATCCTAGCAAATAGGATTAAACCAATCATGGGGAGCATTGTGAATGAAGCACAAAGTGCTTTTATCAAAGATATACAAATTACAAGTAATATCTCCTTAGCTCATGAGCTTGCTAAAAGCTATAGTAGAAGAAACATCTCACCAAGAATCATGATGAATATCGATATTAAGAAAGCTTTTGATACAATAAGTTGGGATTTTGTAAAAATGATGCTTGAAGGGCTGAGATTTCATAAGGAGATGATCAACTGGATCATGGCTTGTATCTCTTCACCTAAATACTCTATTTCTCTCAATGGAACACTTCATGGCTATTTTGAAGGAAAGAGGGGCTTAAGGCAGGGTGATCCCCTATCACCATACCTCTTCATTCTTGGAATGAACTACTCATAAAGGAGATTAGAGATTTTAAAAAAGACAGGTTGTTCAAGTATCATCCAATGTGTGGTAAGCTCAAAATTTCTCATCTCATCTTTGCAGATGACCTGCTGCTTTTTGCTAAAGGAGACCTTTATTCCATCCAAAAGCTATATCAATGTGTGAAAGATTTCAGTGATACAGCTGGTCTGAAAGCTAACTTGGACAAATGCTCTATTTACTTTGGAGGGGTTGATGATTCTTCCAAAACAGAGATTAAAAACTTCCTGGGTTTTTCAGAAGGTGTCATTCCATTCAAATATCTAGGGGTTACTCTCATTTGCAAGAGGCTAACACATGTGGATTGCAATCCATTGCTGGAAAATATCTCAAAGCAGTTTCAGAAGTGGACAAGACATAGCAACTTATCATATGTAGGGAGGATTCTAGTAATCAAAAGTGTGATATTAGGTGTTCAAAACTATTGGACATCAAACTTCATACTGCCAGTTAAGGTAGTGAAGAGGATTGATGAAGTATGCAGGCAATTCTTGTTGAGGAAGTCTGAAAACTCTTTTAAAACTCCATTGGTCTCATGGGATAAGGTATGCTGTGGGAAAAATCAAGGAGGTTTGGGAGTTTACTCTGCATCTATTTGGAACCTGGCTACTGCCATGAGGATCATGTGGTATATTCATGTCAACAAGAAAATTTTATGGGTGAAATGGATCCATGGGAACTACTTAAAGCATAGGGATGTATGGAATTTCAAAGCAAAAAGAGGAGACTCTTGGATGTGGAAGCAGCTACTCAAGTGTAGGGATAAGGCTTTGAATGAAGTTGGAGGTATTGACAACTTGAAGCAATTGCTTAGTGATTGTTACAAAAACTCAAAAATCAAGTTGTCAGCAGTATACACATCATTCTCCCCTGTCACTTGAATTACCCTAGGCACTCGTTTGTATTGTGGCTTGCGGTGCTGAACATGTTACAAACACAAGACAGATTATTGAGAAGAGGGATCATCAATGCAAATAAATGCCTCATGTGTGCAGGTTCTGAGAGCAGGAACCATATATTTTTTGAATGCAACTTTTCCAGGGATGTGTGGCTAGTCATCATAAACTGGCTTAGAATAGATTGGCAAACGTGTGATTGGAACTTACTGTTGAATTGGTATAACACAAGACAGAAAGGGAAGTGATTCAAGAAAAATGTTAGAAGATTGGCTCTTGCGGCTGCTGTGTACAGGATATGGGAAGAAAGGAATGACAGATGTTTTCAGTAGCGGTTCAAGAGTATTGATCAATTGGTGAAGGATATCAAAACTGACATTTTCACTATGTGTTTGAATAGCCCCATCTTGACTGAACAAAAGGATTGGTTGATATCTTTGTAATTCTGTTATTTTTAAGAAGCTTGGCTTTCTCAATGTTGAGATAGTGATGTACATAATTTCCATATTTTGGTAAATGAATAAAAGTTTTTTCATTGACAAAAAAAAAAAAAGTGAACCTACTGCACTTAAAAGGGTCAAGCTCCATGTTACCAAGTAAGGATCGAGGCTATGTAGCTTACATTTTATTTCTACGAGCAAAGTGTGTGCAGTCAAATAAGTTAGGAATAAAAGAGTTGATGATCTTCAATTCGGTATGCAGAACTCTCACAGTTTAGCTAATATATGGGAATATGCTTAATTGTTTATGCACTTCGGTGAATCAACCATAACTGGTATTATGTGAAACCTCTCATACATTTCCTCCGGGATCAGACCAGATTTTCCAAAGCATGCATCTTTGGGTTATTTTTGCTTCTTTGTCTTCTTGTATGATTTGAACTTTGGATTCTACAAAATTGGAGATTTTTGTATCGAGAAGATTTCTTAGACGATCATGGATTGTGTTCTGGGGATTTGGGCGCGCGCACAAGATGAAGACCAGATTGAGACTTTAGTTGGAGGCATCATGAAGAAGGAAAAAGAGATGAGATAATTAATGCTCCTCGATCTTGTAGTTATTGGAAGAACTAGTCAGGGTGTACTTCGAATAATAAATTGAACATTATATTTTTAAAACAAGGTGATCATTAACTAAGATGCATTGAAAGCAACATATAAAGGATACAAACAAGAATGCAGGATATGCTAGCTATATATATGGAGTGTAATGGTGTCCAAAAAATCCAAGCAATGAAGTATGCAAATATAAAAATATGTCAGATTATTTCTATGAACGCCAATAATATAATTATTATGATAATAATAAATGGAGAATTAGTAGATGAATATAAGCATAGACAAATGACACATGAAAATGTAAGCATGCATGCAAACGTTTCTAACAATTAACAATGTAGAATGTTTACATATCCTAAATAGGAAAAAATGGGTATGAGACTAGGTGACAGCTCCTTTTGGTAACTGCACTACTAAAAAGTAGACTGGTGGGAAGATCCATCCTATTAGTCGTGGACCTCTCCATTCCTATCTTTTGGTAATTCATTTTACTAAATAATGTGGCAGCTCATTATCCGATTCACCCTTCTAAGTATTGACACAATGTAGCAGCTTATAACATTGAAATGTGCTATCTTGGCCCCTAGTCTTTCATTTAATAGTTTTATCCAACCTAAGTTGAAGCATTACTCGAACTATATATAGTTTTATACAAACCATCATTGTATTACACAATTCTTTTTCTTAACATTGATTTCAATACCTACTAAAATGGATCAACATCTATAGATAAATTAATTGGGTAAGTCGATTTAATTGTATGGTGATTAAAATGAATGATATAAGAGTCGAATCGTATCGCATGTTATGAGATCTCGAATTTAATTTGAATAAGCTTGTAATGCCAAATCTAAAATGTCGAGAGACTTAAATTTTGATCCGACCACCCTAGGTTTTTAACATACTATAAATGCAATTTTATCGTTATGGGCTTTGCATCATTTTGAGCTTTTGAATTATCCCTGCTAAAATAGGCTACAGAGATGAGGCCAAAATGAATTACAAAATGATTGGGGTATTTGGAGAATTGTTGGGAGGCAAAGCGTGTGGGGGCCACGATGTTGAAGAAGTGAACGTGGGCTTCACGTGGGGGCCACACCCATGTGTGCTTAGTGGGCGTCAAGTCCAGCAGACAAAAGATGAGGCTCAGTTTCACATTTGTTTTAACCGCATCACTAGGCTATAAATACCCAACTTGAGTACCTAGGGTTTTGTGCAAGGCAACGGGGGAAAACGTAGGTGTTGGGCGGCGTGCAAGCAAAAGAAAAGAAAAAAAGGTAGCAGATTGTTCTTTGGGCTGTGTGCAACAAGTAGTATCAGAGCTCAAGCTATGCTTGGGCCAATTGGAGGAGTAGATCGCTTTGGAAGTTCGTCTAGGGTTTCAGTTGGTGACAAAGGTGGGATTTTTCCTATTTGTGGATCTCGTTTGCTAGTATTTCAATTGGAGGTAAAAATCTCTCCTTTATTAGTTTGGATCTATTATTCGTTTGTTCCGCATTGGTTTGTTGGTGCTTTGAGAATTATGATTGAGAAAGAAGGATTTGAGGCTGGAATATTTGATTGTTAATACGGTGCATTGCATTATTGAGAAGTGCCTTGACCTGCATATTGAAGTTCTTTGAGCACATTGGTATGAGCAAAGAGGAGTTTGGTACTTCTATCTATCGATTGAGGGGTCTTTTAGGTGGTGTTCATTCAGGCATTTGGGGGCATTCTAAGGAGGCATCATTGGGGGGTAATAGACATTTGGTTTTCTTAGTTGAAGACTGTTCTAAGCATGTTTGGGTTGCAACCAAATCTCGTTTGGATAAAATCATAGTAGTCTCTAACAGATTGAAGAAATATAAGATATACAGAAAGGTGAAGGTACTTCATTCTGATTTTAGTAGGAGGTATAAGAGGGACCTGTTTCTGCATTTGTATCGAGCTCACGGCAGTTTGAAACACTTCATTGGAGAGGAAACATTGGGGCAACGAGATGAGATGATATTTTTGATTGGTCGTTTCTTTCTAGAGGAGGATCGGCATTTGATGTCGAGCATTAATTTTGGTGTCCGGGCTTCGACATATTTGAGTTATCTTGTTCATAGGTTGCCGACTGCTGTGTTTGGAGATTTTGGATCTGGTGGAGCTGCTTTAGATTTTGGATTGCATCAGATGTTTGATTGCCCAGTATTTGATCACATCGAGGATGTGAGATTTGATCCGATTGCACATTTGAGATTCAGAGGCTCGTTTGGTTATCAGTTGAGACTCTGATTTGGTTCTAAGTAGGTATGTCACATTTGACTCTCGGCAGGTGAAGAGTGTTGATCAGATCATTGGGATATTATAGTGGGTGGAGGGTGATACTACTCCGCGTTGGGTGGAGATTCCTCCACATACTCCAGATCATACTGCATCGTTTGGGATTCCAGCTAAGGTGACACAGGTTGGGGATCATGTTGTTTTGGATGTAGATGATGAGTTGGTTGATTTGAGTGCAACTGGTGGACATAGTTCGAATTTGAATATGGCTATTGGTTCACCTCAGGAGGAGGTGTTTAGATTGTTTCATTTTGGGGCCATTGAGAGAGCTATCAGCCACAAATTTGTTGGTGAAGAGTTAATAACTCTTCTATTTGATTGAGGGCCTTTGAAGACCATTTGGGGAACTACGTGAAGGCTTGATTCCTTAGGCAAAAGGATACGTAGGCAGTCAGTTTTGATGCAGCCGATTTGTTGAGTAGATACCGACGTCTCGAGAGTGATCACATTCTCATTTGGGTCTTGACTTGTTATGGATTGAGTCTGTTGTCATGATTATGTTTCACTTCGTACTTGATGCAACAAGTGATACATTTGGTTTGGTTGGTGTCGGCTCAGTTTGGGAAGAAACTTCACAAAGGTGAAGAATTGTAGAATTAGGAACAACGATGAAGAAGTTCAGACAAAAAGACGCAGGAAAAATTTTGGATATTGCACGGTCGACCGTGAGCGGTGCGACGGTCAACCGCAAACGTACACAACACAGGGGAAAGTCTCTGGATTTTTTACGGTCGACCGCAGTGTCTTGTCCAGTCGATTGAGTCAAACCCTGTAGCAGATTTTGTTTTTGTCGTTGGTTTCGGTCGACCGCGATGGGTTTGGCGGTCGACCGCGAGTCGGGTATGTGCCTGATTTTGGTTTCCTATTCTATTTGGGTTTTGGTGTTTAGTATAAATACCAACACGTTTTAGGGTTTCTTTGGTTTTGATTGGGAATTGTTTTGGAGATATTGGAGCACATAAAAGAGAGATCTTTCTGAGCTATTGGTTAGGGTTATTGTTTGAGAGATTGAGAGCTTTGTTGGTGATATTAGTTGATTGGTTTGAGCGATCTTTAATCTCAGTTTGCACTCTCCTTCTATATAGTGAAAAACTCATTCTTTTCTTGCCCCGTGGACGTAGGCAACTTATCGAACCATGTTAAACTTTTGTGTTTGAGTTTGTGCTGTTATTTTGAATTGTTTGTGGCCTTCTCTCTCGGCGATTGGTTTGGTTTCTCGAAGCACATTGGTTCGATTGTTTGGCTTCTGCCACGCATAACAATTGGTATCGGAGCCCAACAATATTTGTGTACCCTGACCTTAAAAGCTACTTTTTGTTTTTAGGCTTTTATATTACTAGGTAGGAAAAGCCTTTGATCGGTATTACAAGAGGAAAAAGGTTACTTCCCGTAAAGTCTTCATGAGGAATTGTTGTCAACAATAACATTGGAAAGCTGCTAATAGCACTGTGTTTTCTTTATTTCGTATGATTTTGTAACTAAAACTCCGTACACTCTTGCTTTCGTTTGGGTAACATTGTGTTTTCTTTTTTGTGTTTTTATAAAAAAAATATCATGGTGTTATGTTTTTTCCTTACAATATTTCCGAAACACTATGTTAAGTATATTTGATCAACACTA